AATAATGTTTTTGATGCTATCATATTCGTCATCAATGTTCCAGTTAGCACTAAAAATCAGAGCTATTTGGGAAACGGGAACTGAGTAGGCTAAGTGTTATTGTTGGGAAAAACATATTTGGAAAAGTTTACCTTTTCCCATCATTGCATCCTTACTCACACAGATCATAATTTATAATTCTCTACACAATTTTTTCTCTGAAAATATATTACTCGCCCTAACTAACTAGAAGTCACTTTTCTTGACTTTCTGACATGGAAAAATTCTGAACTAGAAGCCTAATTAAACATTTTAATGAAAACAAGAATTACAAAATTATTCCAAAACTATTATATTAAGATGCTTATATTCTGTATAAATATTAATGTTATACATGTAAACAAGGCATTTAACATTTTTCCTAGGGTTAATTATTTTGACAATAGTTCACACTAATAATTCTCAAATTATTATTTAAAGTCAACAATGCATATATATTTATATCACTGAAATATCTATGTATTACATATGCATTCAAAAATATACACACAAAATGACAACTATGTCAAGTATATCTAATTTAGAAAGAATAAAAGAGATTCTACAAATGTAAAAGTGTAATTATGTGAAGACAGCATTATGGAAGTGTTTTTCTTCATTCTGTCATGACATTATTATACTTTTTTAAAAATAAAATATTTTATTTTGGTTTGGTTATATGAATAAAGCTATTGTATCAGTGATATTAAACAACATTGAAAGAAAACAAATTACAAATAAAACTCCTTGGTAGTTTTTAAATTCATGTACACGTGAAATACACATACCTGAACCAACTTCTTTTTCCTCTTCTTCAATGTTGTTTTTGATGCTATCGTATTCCTCATCAATGGTCTGGTTACCACGCATCTGAGATAAAATTCTACGGGCCTTCTGAGTCTGTCCTTTCTGAATAAGCCATCGAGGACTTTCCGGCAAAAAGAGAAAGCCAAAAAACTGTATAACTGCTGGAATTGCTGCAAGTCCCAACATGTACCTGCAATTAAGAAATCCACATTTACTGTACAATTTGGCCTCAGTAGCATTAAATATGTGCTCTTCAGATATTTTTTTTGTATTTTTGTCTTGGCCACAATAAAATCTGATAGAATAACTTTCTTTTTATTCTGTCATAAAAAAAGGATACTTTATGCTGTGCTGAAATTCGGAAAATGAGAAAAAACTTAATATCTTCTGTATCTGACACAAATTACAATAAGAAAACGAATAAAAGTTACAATAATTTGGTACACAAGTGAATAAAACATGTCATGCAAACACCACAATCTCTGTCTGTATCTAATACTAAAATATAAGATAAAATTCTGTATTTGACAATTTAAAATGGAATTTAAGATAAGAAGCTAATACCTGCTTAAAATATAAAAACTTTTCACTAAAATAAATGTTCCAGTCTGTTTATGGTTATTTCTGCTCTGTGAATTAGTTATAATTTGTTACAACTTTCTTACTTTGTTTTTCCATTAAACATTTAAGTAAAGATTCACAGCAATAAATAAATAAAAACAAAACCCTAAATAAGGAACCAGCAGATGGCATAATGGTTACATTGCTGGACTCCCATGTAGTTGACTGCGGTTAGAGTCCTGGACCCAACAGTTTGAAACTCACACCAAGCACATGTGCGTACATGCCCAAAATCCCAAGAGGAGAATGGAGGAGAAGGGATTGCAGCGTGGCCATCCCTCCTGGACAGTGAATTCTCACTTTCTGTGTCTCTGGCAAATGCATGCTCCCTATAGCAAAAATCTCTTATTAAAAAAATAATGAATTAATTAATTTTTTAAAAACTAAGAAAAATGATTAGAAATATGAAATGTTATTTTAAGTTCTCAATGCTTTTTAAAAATGTTTTTATTTATTTATTTAGCCATAGGGTAAGTGTGCTCATTACAGACAGACAGCAAGGGGAAGTGAGAAACCATCCCCAAGGGGAGATGGCCACACCCCAATCACTTCTACCCCATTCTCCTCTAAGGATTGCGGGTATACACACATATCCCCCTGGCATGTTTCCAACCCACTGGGTCTGGGACTTGTATTGTGGAGTCTGTCATGAGAGATCCAACATCTTAATCACCACCACATGGTGCTCCTTAAATGTGTATTCTTAATGGCTTATAAAAATCTAAATAGTAAATAAGCATACCATTTAAAATCCATCAGAGAAAAAAATAATATTAATACATCGATATCAAAGACCTGTCCAAATTATGACCACCAAACAGATCTTGTAAAATTTCTAAGCCTTAACCTTTTAGAACTGAACAGGTTAAATTAGATAAATTTCCAGGTCTTTTCTGGACAGAAATGTCTGTGGATCTAAGACACCTGGAAGTTTCTCTTGATCCAAGTTCCTGGATCTCTTCCAAGGTAGATTCATGATAACAAAGCTCTAAAGGCCAATTCCACTTGTGTAATACTTAGACCTGACTCAGTAGTTGTGGGAAGCTGCACACCAGAGTCTGCCGAGGTTTCTCAGAGAGCAAACAATTACCATGATTGGTTCTCTTCCAAAAACCTGACCTTCGAAACCTTGCTCTGATTGGCCACTAGAATCCCTCAAATTTGCATATCTGGCACCTCATGATTGGTCCAAAAGCAACCAATCACAGCCCACTGCTTACAACCAATCATGGCCCACTGTTTACAACCCACCAGAGTGTATATAACCACGATGCCTGGCCCACAGTAGCCAGACGACACAGGCGACCAGGAAGATGACACAGAAGACCAGGAAGATGACTACTAAAGAGCCTAAAGAGCTGAAACACCGTGCAGTCTCCAGACGACCCCAAAGATCCTGAAGAGCTGACACTGCATCGTCTCCAGATGACCTGGAAGACCCTGAAGATCTGTAACACTGTGTCGTCTCCGTGCTGCTCACAGTAGACGATGTGACCCTGAAGAGCTGTGACACCGCGTCGTCTCCGTGCTGCTCACAGTAGACAACGCGACACTGCATTGTCTCTGTGCTGTACTGTGCTGCCCACAATAAACGGACGACATTGTCGTCTGTGTTGTAACACTACGCCGCTTGTCCCGGCTCTCACTCCTTCACTCAGGAAACCTGTTTGGCTGTTCCCCCGCGGGTCGGGACACCTGGCGCCCGAACAGGGACGGGACACATGTGGGAGTCCAGCGACATAGCCATTACACTAACTGCTGGTCCCTGTCTTTGACTTTAGAATAAGGCCTCTTAGATAATACTTGCTATGCTCCTGGTGACGTTGTAGGCACCTTACAGATATATTAACTCATTTAATCCTCTCAGTAGTCTCATGAGGTAGGTACTATTATCCTAATGGTATAAATGAGGAAACACACACTGATTCATTTATCTGTCCAGAATCACATAGCTACTTAAGGACAGCGCTGGGATCTCAATGCCAGGCAATCTGGCTCTTTACTACACTATATAAGAGGACTTCAAGAAGGTGGTGGAAAGGCCAGCAAGTTGCATGGTGGTTGGGGTGCTGGACTCCCATATGGCCAACCATTGTTCGAGTTCTAGACCTAGTGGCTTGCTTTCTCACTTACCCTTTGTCTCATTCTCTTGGCCAAATTAAAAAATCCTAAAAAAAAAAAAAATTTAAGTTGTGTAAAAATGGGATTAAAACATACATATATTTTGGTGAAAAGTTTTTTTTAAATCTATGTAGTTTTTTCATAATACACATTTTCTGGGGACTTTCTGAAAACAGCACTTCTTTAGGCTGGCAAGAGGGATAATAATACTGTGAGAGGGTCACGGGAAATGTATCTTGCTAAGAACACAAGAGCCAGTCTAGAGATCTTTGGCTTCTTAGCCGAACTTTCTAAAGTTCTCTGAAGCAGTGGCTTTCAACTATTTTTCCCCTATAATACACAGTAAGAAATAATTCTACTTTAACACAGTAAGTACACACAGTTATGTATGTTACACACACACAAATTACATACTTAAAACTAAAGTTTCCTAAAAAATACTTCTCATTCCATGTTCCATATATTCTGATACATTTTATTCTATTTTTTATAAAATAATTAACTTTATTTACTTATTTTGAATTTGACCAGAGAGGGCCAGAGTGAGAGAGTAAGGGAAAATGAGAAAGCAAGCTGCCAGGTCCAGGACTCAAACTGAAGTCGGCTATGTGGGAGTCCAGCATCCTTAACCACCATGCGACCTGCTGGCCCCCATTTTATTCTATTTTACTTTTTTCTCTTTAAGGCAACTTAACCCCTACATTTCATGAGCCACACTAATGAGTGTTGACCCAATATGAAAAACTCTACATTAGGCACATTTCCTGACACATGTAGTAGTGGGAGATAAAACCGGTCATGTGTTTTGAAAGGATAAAATTAACCAGCAGCAAAAATGAGTAGGAAAAAAAATGGGTGAGACAATGAAACCTTGGTACAGGAAAAGAAATGGGAATGGAGAGTTAATTCCAGGAGCTTTTTTTTTAGAGATTTTCACTGTAGGGCGCGTGCACTCGCCAGACAGACAGAGAGAGACATAGAGACAGAAAGCGAGAAATCACCCCCCCATGGGGGATGGTCACGCCGCAATCCCTTCTCCTCCATTCTCCTCTCGGGATCTTGGGCATGCACGCACACGCTCCCGGCGTGAGTTTTAAGCCACCGGGTCCGGGACACGAACCGCGGTTGACTATGTGGGAGTCCAGCGACATAGCCATTACGCTAACTGCTGGTTCCCAATTCCAGGAGCTTTTTTATAAACGTAGACTATTTTGAACTCACTGACTGGATGCAGGGAAAAGGGAGGCGCACAACCAGTTCTAACACTGTGATTTCTGTCTCAAAGCGCTGAGCAGATGAAGCGCCTTTGAGGAATGGAGAAGTCTGGGGAGCGAGGCAAATACATGTGTGAAATTACCCACTCTATTTTAGATCAAGAGCGTTCATAGGACTTGCAGGAAACTGGTAGTAGATAAACTACTGTCACACAGAAATTGGGATTAGAACCAAACAAATTTAATCCGGAGTTCAAGTTCGGATGCAATATCCCAGGAAGAATAACGAGAGAAGAAAAAGAACGAGAGCAGTACACCTTTATGGTTAAGAAAAGGACATAAAGGGAGAGGCAATCCACAAGAAGTACATTAAGAGCTGCAGAAAGAAAGATGAGGACAGAGCAAAGAGCACGCAGTCTGGTGTCAGTGTTCTTCTGCTCTGGATTTGGTAAATAAGAACACGAGGTACCATGTGTGAGGATGGAAGAAGCCAAATCGAAAAGCTTTAGACCACGAGAGATGACAAGTGAAATAAATTCAAGTTCATCCGTACTGTCCCCAATCTTGCCTTGCCATTGAAAAGACTGTAATCACGGGCCATCTTTCCCACCCGCTCCGTGGCCCTCCAGATAGTGATTTCAACGACTGAGCCAAGCTCTTCTTAGGGAGTGTCCTAGTCCAGGGTCGACTGGTTGGTCTCTTCCTCGCGGTCAGCGGCTCCCCGCCGCGCCCCTGGCCTGGATGTGGGAGGCGAAGGCGGTGAGCATTTCCAGAGCGGTGAGGTGGGCGCCGCGCAGCAGCAGGCGATGGCCGTCTCCTAGGGAAGAACAGAGGGCTCAGGCTCGCGGGCTGCCTGCCGCCCTCTCCCGCAGCCCCCCGTCTTTCCCGCGGCCCACCGAACAGCACGTCCACGCAGGGCTCGGAGCCGTCGTGCCGCACGTCCGCAATCACGGAGCAGTTGAGGTTGGTGGAGCGCACCTTCTCGCTGCTCACCGCCTGCAGGAAGGTCCTAGGGGGGAAGCGGCGTGAGCCTGGACCCGGCGCTGGAGCTCGCCTGGAGGACGGCGCGGCCCTCCCGCCCCCTCCCGCTCCTCCCCGTACCTCGTCGACTCCACGTTCTTCTCGAAGGGGCAGAACTGAACTCGAACCTGCTTGACCGAACGCCACCCGAGCCGAGC